AACTTAGTACACTGACTTCCGTCCCATAGCTGATCCACATTCCCTGTGATACTTTTCTCTACTAGAGCCTTTACCCTTCACTCCCACCACCCTTAAAAACACCCAGCATACTACTAAAAGGCAAGTATTTGCATTGCACCTTCTGGCTATGCATTCTCTTACTTTCATTTGTTATGCTAATCATATTCATCCAACTTCTAAAATAATGCTTTGCTTAAAATATATTAAGAAGCCCTGTTGGCACAATGGGTTATGCTTCAGATTGTTAGCAGCAAAATCAGAAGATCAAACCCATAGACTTTCATGGCGGCGGGGGGGAATGAGGTTGTTTGCTCCTGTAAGGATTTACAGTCTTTCCAAGAATTTTAATCTTCCATTTCCAGGTATAATTATAAAATCTTGAAAATCTTAATTACATATCACAATCTATTGGAATTTATTGTAATTTCAGACAAGATATCCTTTGGAGACATATATATACTGTTTCTAGAAGATATAACATGTACTTAAATGGTCTCTTTGGAGTAATACACAGTTTTCTCAAAAACAATAATCTATTTTGAAATAATTTATAGTATAACTATCTAACTCAAATATTTATTCATATTTTTTATAAACTCACAGCTCCTTTGGTCCAAATGACTAATGCATGTAATTTGAAACTAATTTGCAGCCTTAGTAATTTCCTACCTGCTACTTTTCTATTATTACCTGATAGGATTATAATCTTTGATCTAGTCTATAACATAATTGTTCTGTGGATTAAGAAAATTTGATATGTATTTATGTACAGACTGGAAGAAATATTATGTCCTGTTATTTTATTTTTACATGTACAATTTAAAAATGTGTTTCTACTTTAGTGTTGTTTTTTTCTTTCCCACATTATATATCCTCAAGGAACTGTCCAAAGAAAATTTTGCTCAATATTATATGTGTTCATCAGCATTATATGTATAAATAGCATTCATGTTGTTTATCCATGTAGTTTTGAATTCTCCCCATCATTTCTCAACTGGTATTCCAAGTTACTTTCCTCTAGAATATCTTAATAAATATCCTTAAATACCTACATTTTGCCAACTGTGAAGATTATAATAGTCTTGATGTCAATGAAATGGCAGTTTCAGAATCTACCAGGAATCCAATAAACCGAGAATTTAAAAAACAAACAAAACAGTCTCTCCTGTATCTAGACCTCAAAAGTTCTGTTTACATGTGAAAGATTTGCAATTCAGATTCACACTGTTAAACAAAGGAGCACAAGGAATAAACATTAAGGGTAAACATTAAGGGTTGTAAGGGTAAGATACAAATATTCTAACTTTCAACAGTTCTAGCATTCTTTCATGTGAATTTCAAAGGCTTCAAAACAAGCAGATCTCCAATGTCTCCAATGCTCTACTTTTATCTAAAAGAATATCTTCTTAGGGAAAAGAAGGCATTTTTTGTAGATTTCCTGAACCACTAAGCTTTTTGTATTTTTCA